CCCAGTTACCGGGGCAACTGGTCCCAGCTGGGGGAGCTGGTGGCTCAGGCTGTCCTCCCCAGGTGGCCTCATCCTGGGGCGAGAGGGCTTTGGCCAAGGCGGGGGCTCTGTTGGGCGTTAGGGTTTGCGCTGCCGTAGGAAGCCGCCGCCCCGCGCTGCCCACAGGCACAGGAGCCAGCATCGCTGCTGGGTGAAGTTGTTGCTCCCTCGCTGGGTGAGGACCCCCGGGGTCCTGTCCTGGGCAGGACTCAAAGTGCCCCTTGTCCCATCCAAGCTGAAGGGTGCCTTTGCAAAGGCCAACGGCTCTCCCTGTGCTCCCTGCCCTCCTCCTGTGCTTCCAGGCGTTCACCATCATGGATCAGAACCGGGACGGCTTCATCGACAAGGCGGATCTGAGAGACACGTTTGCCGCGCTGGGTGAGCCCCCTCTTAGGACCCTCCCCAACAGCTTTGACAACGTTTGACCTATTAAGTGAGAAACCAGCCGTGAGCCCCCATTTAACCAAGCCCCAGCAGCTAACTGGATCTCCTGTTGTGCTGAAAACCTCCTGACCCAAGCCCACTTCTGCGAGCCCGTGAGATCCCACCCGGGGTGACCCAGAGCAGCTCCCGCAGCAGCGGGCGTTGAATCCCGTAGAGAGGAGCCAGCTCCTGGATCAGACACAGTCTCCTCGCCTGCTAAGAAGCCCCTGGCTGCGCCCACCCCATGGCATTCACGGGCTTTGGGGGGGTTTACAGGATTTGTGGGAAGCTGCGAAGCCGCGAGCTTGGCCCTCTCATCATGGAGGCCACCACAAACCAAAGACAACCCAACCTCGGGTGACAGGATGTAGACATTCAGCCCTATTTGTTTCTGACACCAGAACCACGGTGCTGGTGGTTTTGACCCAAAACATCAGAGGAGGGCTGATCCATGGGACAGCCAGGGAAGGAAGCAGCACATCTCAGTCCTTTGTAGCCCTTTCTTCTGTGATCCTGGAGCCCGAGAAACCATGTCCAGCTCACCTGTCCTCTGCCAGCAGATGATCCTCCCATCCTCAGTTCTGCTACTGCCATTCCTTGTCGGAGATGGCTCCCCAGGGCTGTGCCATTTCCCTCGTTTGGGGGAAAAACCCCAGGCCAAGGCTTCCGTGGTGTGTCCTCCAGCCCCCAGCACACAGAGCAGAGCCCGGAGGTCTGCATGCATCTACTGCTGGGCACGGCCACGCGAGTCACCCCACGCTGCTCTCCCTTAGGGCGCCTGAACGTGCAGAACGAGGAGATCGATGAGATGATAAAGGAGGCACCAGGACCAATCAACTTCACCGTGTTCCTCACCATGTTTGGGGAGAAACTCAAGGGTAAGGGGGCACGCGAGGAGCTGGGGGGGGCTCATCCGGTCCCACCGGGAGAAGCCACCCCCCTCCTGAGGCCTCCATCACCCTCCCAGGCGGGACCTGTCAGAGGCTCCTTGGAGGCCTCAGATGGGAGCTGCTAAAGGGAAGGCACCGACAGCCATACTGCGGCGTGCAGAGCCTGGGAAGTGGGCCAGAGCAGGGATGCCTCCCACACCAGAGCCAAGAGGTGACACCCAGGGACAACCACGGGATACTTGTGAAACAATCTCCCTCACCCGTCCCTCCTGCATCCCTTAGTGCCACCTTCTCCCAATGGCAGCACGGGGACCCCCCAAACAGAGAAGTGTTGGTGGGACCATCACCAGCAACAACATCTCTCCCCAAGAGCTCCAGTCCTCATCCTCCAAATCCTGGACTTGGGTGCTCTCCCTGCCTCCCCGTCCCGAGAAAGAGCAGATAGCACAAACTCAGCGTCACGTACCCTGAGCAGCTGTCCCCAGGGAGGTCCCCACACCCCAAAACTCATGCTGACTTGCAATACCAACGGTCCCAAAGGCAGGGCTGGGGCTGCCCCACCAGAGCTCTGGATCTCATCCTGGGTCTCCCCAACCTATTGGGGGGTATGAACAGGTCTCTGTGCCTCAGTTTCCCAAGTCATTAAAAAAACCCCAGATGAACTGACTGTGATGCTGCTGTCCCCATAGAAAGAGAGGACAGGAGATGTGGTGTCACCTCTCAGCGTGCTGACACCAACGACGGCACCGACGGCCACCCTGGCAAGGGCACTGGCTACAGCGTGACTTTGACCCACCGGCCCCGTCCGGCTGCACGCTGTATCACACACACAGCGCAAGGCATGCAGCCTTCCCGCAGCTCTCTGGGCATGCCCCCTCCCCGCAGCTCTCCAGGAGGCTACACGGCCCCAAGAGCCTGTGCCTGGAGCTCTATAAATACTCCCAAAAGATTAGATAGCCGCCGGGTGCCAGGGCGGTGGTGACACATCCTGCTTTGTGAGCACACCACGACCATATGTCTGCTTCTCCATGTGTCACCCCCCATGCTGGAGGG